ATTCTCCCTCGTCCTCTGCCTCTCCCTCCGACAAGTGCTCCCCGAAAGGTTCCCACAACGGCTGGGTGGACACGCAGTCCGATAGCGTTGCCGAGATCTGGCCACTTCGGCCGCATAAGCGTGTCCAAACTGAAGGGGGCGGCGGTGATTCGCCGGGCGCGTCTTCCACATGTTCGATTCTCGGGCAGGTTGGACATTTAAGCATGCGGTCTTACGACACGGCAGTCTGACTCCCATCAACGTTCGGCAAGGTTTGTGGATGCCACGACAGTGGAGACCCTAACAGTCCTATTTTTGTATTTAACAGTCGTCTACAATGTAGGAATCAGGTTCTAAACATGCTTGAAGCATGTTGTCTTACAGGTTTAAATCATGGTTGAAACATGTTTTAGACATCTGGAAAGTATTCGGCAGCACGCTTCCTCTCCATTATAATCGACCTCCACAAGGCGAGTGCAGCTGTCAAATTGCCCACATGAACCCAACGGGTCCTCCAGACGACCCCAGAACGGCTGTAATCGGGAGCGGCTAAGAGGGGGGTGTCCAAGAGGAGGGGTGCAAATCATGACCGGCGGCATGTGCGCGGCCCAGCGGGGGGGCCACGGACGTAACGACATAAGAAGAGGCGCCCTGAAACCTGGGGAAATATCATGGCCCCCGCCATGATGTCACCCCTAGCCGTCACCCCCCGCCTTCTGGCGGTGGACAAACCTCCCTTTAGTAGACCTCCCCTTAGTGAAAACGGCCTGGGACCGAAACCAACGGACCTGGACCCGCAAAAATGACGGCCCCGACGCCCTCTCGCGAACCGAAAACGGCCAATTCCTCAATCGACGTGTCAGGGTAGGAGGTCTGTCCATCCCCGAGCCTCGCCGCCCCCGACAAATGAGCCCAACGGGTCCTCCAGACGACCCCGGAACGGCTGCAGGAGCCTCCCCCCCCCAGGAGTGAAGGGGCCCTGGGACACACAAATGAATACACACAAATAAAAAGAATCCCCATATGTTCTCATATTTTCTGGGTTTTTGTCTTCCCCCCCACTTCCCACATTTTCCCATATTTTCTGGGGAATCGAGGATTAATTGTGTCTGTGTGTTTCCTCCCCTCCTGAGTCTAGGGTGCCCTTGTATCCTTGCCTCTGCGGCCCGTCCTTTGCCGCTCTCACTGGTCGCCCGCCGCCCCCAAAAATGCCGGCTTCGGCCTCCAGGGGCCCGCCTCCTCCTCCTCCTCCTCCTCCTCCTCCTCCTCCTCCTCCTCCTCCTCCTCCTCCTCCTCCTCCTCCTCCTCCTCCCCCACCTCCCCCTCCTCCTCTCCCTCCTCCCCGTCCTCGATACACATTGCAACCCCGTCCTCGATTAATTGTGTCTGTGTGTTGTTTCCCCCTCCTGAAGGAGCCCCCCTGCGCCGGGCACCGCGCGGCGAGCCCGCGGGCTCGCCTCCAGGGCCCCGGCGGCGCGGCGCAGTCCAGGCCTCCTCCTCCTCCTCCTCCTCGCACTCCTCCTCCTCCTCCTCCTCCTCCTCCTCCTCCTCCCCTCCTCCTCCTACTCCACTCCTCCTCCTCCTCCTCCTCCTCCTCCTCCTCCTCCTCCTCCTCCTCCTCCTCCTCCTCCCCCTCCAGCGACGAGCGGGTGCCCTCCCACACCAAACGAGGGCTCCCAGCTTCGCGCTTCGCGCTGCGCGAGGCGCGAAGTGCGAGTAACTTCGCGCTCTCGCACCGCCTCCCAGGGGAGGAGGCGGATGAGGAGGAATCGGAGCCGAACCGCGAAGCGCGAACGACTTCGCGCCCTCGAGGGCGCCCTTGATTCCCACAAAAAGAACCCGAGACGCCTCCAAAACAACCCTGAAGGTGGCCCCCAAAGACCACTCCAAAAGAGTGCCCAGACAGCAGACTCGAGAGCGGACGTTTCGACCCCTCCGCCGCGAGAGGCTCTCGGAAAGCCCGGAGATGCTGCAGGGCGCCCCCGACAGTCCCCAAGAAGTTTCCAAAAAGCTCCCCGGAAGCCCCTTCGATCAGGGTCGGCGGCACCAGCCGTCAGGCCTCTCCAATCACACTTTCGACGACGAACGGGTGCATTCCCACACGTGCATAAGTGAAACATGTATTCAGACTGGAAAACGGTACTGGCCCACCATACGGAAATGCAACTGACAATCATCACTCGCGCAACGACCGTTGTGGCCCGATGCCTGTGATCGTAGCGGTTGCCATCTGACCCTTCGGCCGATTGTGCAGCAAATCTGTGTGCTGTGGTGTGGATGTTCTGCGATGGCGAGCAAGGCGGCGCACTTTGGCAGAATGCCTGTCCATCCGGCTTTCGAGCATGGGCGAGTTGCAAGCACAAAAGTGAAGGGGCGCCAGGACACACAAATAAATACACACAAATAAAAGGATTGCCCATATTTTCCTATATTTTCTGGGTTTCTGTCTTCCCCCCCACTTCCCATACTTTCCCATATTTTCCTGGGGGTCGACGATTAATTGTGTCTGTGTGTTTTTTTCCCTCCTGAAAAAGGGAGCGCGCAGACACCTCCCCAAATCCGCCGACCCTGTCGGCGTGTGTGAGGGGCTTTTCCGTTCGAGCCTTCATCTCCGTCATTCTTTGTACTCGTCGTCTCTGTCCTTCCCTTTCCCTGGGAGACCTCTTCCCCTGGGCTCCAGCCAAGCCGACCTTGAGCAACCTCGTAATTGAGTCGAAGGGAAGCCCCTTCCCTTTGATCCCTCCCCCGCCGGGAAGGAGGGGGGGGTAGCCCCCCCCTTCCCTTTGGATCCTCCCCCGCCGGGAGGGGGGGGGGGGTGTCGACCCCCCCCCCGGGTCAGATACGACGCCCCCCCCTGGGACTCCTCTTCCCCTGGGCTCCAGCCAAGCCGACCTTGAGCAACCTCGTAATTGAGTCGAAGGGAAGCCCCTTCCCTTTGATCCCTCCCCCGCCGGGAGGGGGGGGGGGGTGTCGACCCCCCCCCCGGGTCAGATACGACGCCCCCCCTTGGGACTCCTCTTCCCCTGGGCTCCAGCCAAGCCGACCTTGAGCAACCTCGTAATTGAGTCGAAGGGAAGCCCCTTCCCTTTGATCCCTCCCCCGCCGGGAGGGGGGGGGGGTAGCGACCCCCCCCCCCGGGTCAGATACGACGCCCCCCCCTGGGACTCCTCTTCCCCTGGGCTCCAGCCAAGCCGACCTTGAGCACCCTCGTAATTGAGTCGAAGGGAAGCCCCTTCCCTTTGATCCCTCCCCCGCCGGGAGGGGGGGGGGGTTCGACCCCCCCCCCGGTCAGATACGACGTCCCCCCCCCTGGGACTTCCCTCTTCCCCTGGGCTCCAGCCAAGCCGACCTTGAGCAACCTCGTAATTGAGTCGAAGGGAAGCCCCTTCCCTTTGATCCCACCCCCGCCGGGAGGGGGGGGGGGGTCAGCGACCCCCCCCCCGGGTCAGATACGACGCCCCCCCCTGGGACTCCCTTCCCCTGGGCTCCAGCCAAGCCGACCTTGAGCAACCTCGTAATTGAGTCGAAGGGAAGCCCCTTCCCTTTGATCCCTCCCCCGCCGGGAGGGGGGGGGGGGTGTCGACCCCCCCCCCGGGTCAGATACGACGCCCCCCCCTGGGACTCCTCTTCCCCTGGGCTCCAGCCAAGCCGACCTTGAGCAACCTCGTAATTGAGTCGAAGGGAAGCCCCTTCCCTTTGATCCCTCCCCCGCCGGGAGGGGGGGGGGGTGTCGACCCCCCCCCCGGGTCAGATACGACGCCCCCCCCTGGGACTCCTCTTCCCCTGGGCTCCAGCCAAGCCGACCTTGAGCAACCTCGTAATTGAGTCGAAGGGAAGCCCCTTCCCTTTGATCCCTCCCCCGCCGGGAGGGGGGGGGGGTGTCGACCCCCCCCCCGGGTCAGATACGACGCCCCCCCCTGGGACTCCTCTTCCCCTGGGCTCCAGCCAAGCCGACCTTGAGCAACCTCGTAATTGAGTCGAAGGGAAGCCCCTTCCCTTTGATCCCTCCCCCGCCGGGAGGGGGGGGGGGTAGCGACCCCCCCCCCGGGTCAGATACGACGCCCCCCCCTGGGACTCCTCTTCCCCTGGGCTCCAGCCAAGCCGACCTTGAGCAACCTCGTAATTGAGTCGAAGGGAAGCCCCTTCCCTTTGATCCCTCCCCCGCCGGGACGGGGGGGGGGGTAGCGACCCCCCCCCCGGGTCAGATACGACGCCCCCCCCTGGGACTCCTCTTCCCCTGGGCTCCAGCCAAGCCGACCTTGAGCAACCTCGTAATCTCTTGCTGCGCATTGCGAACAGGGTCGGCGGCACCGGCCGTCAGGCCTTCGCAATTATTTCAATCAATTGTCGCAAACTCCGACGACGACGACAACAGCAACGGCGGGGCACTTTCCCCTCCGCTTCCGAATCGGAGGACCCCATGCCCTCTCTTTCGGGCGGCGAGCTCAAGGGGGGAGTGAGTGGGGGCAGCCCTTCTCAGATGGCAGCGGGGCTTCAGAGAAGCCCTCGCGCCTCCTGAGGAGCCGTCGGCGGCTTCTGAGAAAGCCTGCAGCCAACGCGCCTGGCAAGGACGCGCGCCTTCGTCTATAAAGGGAAATTAGGACACACAAATAAATACACACAAATAAAAATAGTCCCCATATTTTCCCATATTTTCTGGGTTTTTGTCTTCCCCCCCACTGCCCAAATTTTCCCATATTTTCTGGGGAATCGAGGATTAATTGTGTCTGTGTGTTTCCTCCCCTCCTGAGTCTAGGGCGCCCTTGTATCCTTGCCTCTGCGGCCCGTCCTTTGCCGCTCTCACTGGTCGCCCGCCGCCCCCAAAAATGCCGGCTTCGGCCTCCAGGGGCCCGCCTCCTCCTCCTCCTCCTCCTCCTCCTCCTCCTCCTCCTCCTCCTCCTCCTCCTCCTCCTCCTCCTCCTCCTCCCCCACCTCCCCCTCCTCCTCCTCCTCCTCCTCCTCCTCCTCCTCCTCCTCTCCCCACCTCCCCCCCTCCTCCTCCCCCTCCTCCCCGTCCTCGATACACATTGCAACCCGCCGCCTTCTGAGAGGGCCCGCCCCCCCTGACTCTCCCGCCTGGGCGCGCCGCCGAGTTCCCGACCAGGAAGCACGGGGTGTGCACGCACTTGCCGCCGCCTCGAGGCAGCGCAGCTGCGACTCCGGCGCCAGGTCAGCGCGAGCGGGGTACCTCACGCAGCAGTCTCCTTCGGCTTGGTACCCACGACGTACTCGAACCCAGTGCCCCTCGTCATCAGCGACCATGCGGCCATCGTCGCTGGGACCAGGCCATAGGCGAACAGCGTGATGAACGCGCCGCTCAAATAGTCGTTCTGGACCATAAGATAAAGCTTCAGCTGCTGCAACCGGCCCATACCGCCGTCGACCGAGCCTTGCAGGCTTGGCAACTCTTTTGGATGCGCAGGGTCACGCGAAAGCTTGCCCTCCAGCGCGTCCCGCACAACAATGTATGTCGTCGTCGACATCAGCATACTCAAAGGTGGGACTGGACCGAAGATCGCAAACAAGGCCCACTTCAAGCCTGCGAAGCTCTGCAAGCTCCACAATCCCTCGGCGCCGCGAGTGGACCACAATGAGAGCAGCTCCTGGGGGCTCTGGGACACAAGCCACCGCAGAGTCTGAACAGCCAGCAGGATGGTCGTCAAGATGAGGGATAGGGAATGCATGTTGGCGAGAATGTGCACGCTGGCCATCTTCCCAGCGATGTTCCAGGTCTTGACATGGGTGGCGCTAGCGATGTGCCTAGAGCCGCCTGACATCAGCAGGTGCGCCTGCTGCAGGAAGATGTATGACAACTCAGCCAGACCCTGGGCATGCCGCCGCGCCTGCACGAAACGGGCGTGGATCGAGGCGAGCCAGCCGTCAGACTCGACGAGGTACGAGATCGCCGGCAAGAACACGGGCCGCAGCCGAACGCGAGATGCCGCGCACTCCGTGGCACTCGGTTGCAGACCGATTCCCGTCCTCAGGGCGTCCAGCTGCTCCCAGATGGACGCAAAATAGCACTTGCAGAACATGTGGTGGTCCTCCGCGATCACGTCCCTGTCCCAGCCGTCGACGAAACGGTGGGAGGCCATAGCGAGCGTGACGGAATAGCTCGAGTAACTGAAGTGTGGAGAGAACTTCTGGTTCGCCAGACCAGCAAGCTCGAAAATGATGGTGGCATAACCAGACAAGCGCGTGGGGCCTGGCGTAGAAAAGAGGTTTCGCAAGAGCAAGATAGGCGACTGCCAGATTGACCAAGCACGCTCGTGGGCTGACATGGTCAAGCCCTGGTAGGTCATTGCGCTGAAATACTGTGGATGGAAGAGGGTGTCTGCGTCGCTGACCGTGAGGAACACCTTCGAAGCATCATGATTGCTGAGCTGGGGCGCCAACCTCTGCAAAGCCTGCCGGTAGCCCCACTGGGTGTTGGACGACTTGCCCGCGACGTCGCCTGGCAAGTTCGCCGGGTGGAAAGTAGCGCCGATGTCCGCGAAGAGGTGGCGTGACGCATCGATCAGATTCCTGGCCTTTTGACGCGCAGCCTCGCCCTCCCTGTCTTCCATGCACAGCACCACGTGCATGTTCTTGCGGGCCAAGGCAGAGCGCCCGAGGTTCTCCAGAGTCTGCTGCATCATCTCCTCGTCCTCCTTGTAGTTCGGCAGGAAAACGACGTGCATGAAGGCGCTGGCCTCTGGAGCCTCAGCCTGCACCTTCTCTAGCTTGGCCTGCCAGTCGACGTCAACGTCGCGGCGCATCCTCCACGCCCCCAACACGCATGAGATAGAGAGATTCCCTGAGTAGATCACGGTCCAGACAGATAGCACAGCGGCAATCCACATCATCACGTCCTGAGCGAAGAAGGCGCAGAAGATGATAACCAACATGGGCGGGAAGATCAGTAGCCCTGGAATCCAGCAGCATACGCTTTGCAGCATGCCTGGGTCCGACAACGAGATACGAATATGCGGTCCCGCCGCCTGGTCGCCGTCGCCAGAGCAGGGATACGGCGAAGGGCACGGGGAACCCTTCGTCGCAGCCGGGGCCGGGGACCAAGGTGGCTTCGAAGAAACCGCCGGAGACGGCTGCTCCTCCGCGATGGTCGCGGAAGACTGCCCGCGGCGACGAACGCCGCTCGCCTCCATGGCGCAAGCGCCCAAAAACTTGCCCGCCGGGGGGCTTGTGCAGCGCAGCTGTGCGCACGCACAGGAATGCAGGACCTGAAGCTCTTGTCCCGAAGTCACAGCCGACCTTGAGATAACGACGGCGGCAGTGACGACGCTAAGCGCTTGCAACACAGCCATTTCGGGCGACAAGACGACTCGAAGAGGATGGGTGTAATCCCACGAGCCCGTCGGGCTAAGGTGGTGTCTCGAGTCCTTGCTTTCCTCTTCCAAAAACCAAATACCCCTTCTCCTCCAGGGAATGGTACCCTCCCCCTTCCCCTCCCTGAGGTTTTGTGGGAGAGGGACGGAAGGGTTAAGAAAGCCCGAGATGGCCCAGGATGGCTCCAAGAGGGCGTCCGATGATCAAAGATGGCCTCCAAGATGGCTCAAGATAGCCGACGATGGTTCACGATAGCTTCTGACATACCTCAAAGAAGCCCGACGAGGGCCACGAGACAGATCCAAATGCTCTCGGAGACCCGCAGGACTCCCCCAAGAATCCCAAATCCGTACAACCAAAAACATACGGCCAGTCAGTGAGTTTTGCCTTCTCGCCTATGTTCTTCCGATGCGCCCTTGGGGCCTCAAGGTGGCCCCGAGATGGCCCAAGAGAGCCCCAAGAGGGCGCAGGAACGCCTCAAGAGCGCACCAAGAGGGACCGCCGTCGCCGTCGTCGTCGCCGTCGTCGTGGTCGTGGTCGTGGTCGTGGTCGTGGTCGTGGTCGTGGTCGTGGTCGTGGTCGTGGTCTTCGTCGTCGTCGTTGTCGTCGCGGTCGTCTTGGTCGTCGTTGTCCTCCTCCTCCTCCACCTCTTCATTATCCTCCTCCTCCTCCTCCTCCTCCTCCTCCTCCTCCTCTTTCTTGCCCTGCCCTCTCCCCCACCTGGGCCAAAGACACGGCCCTATGAGGCTTCAAAGGGCACACCCTTGCTCCCAGAGATCTCTCTGCTCACCCTGGTTGCCCACTCTAGTTCGCGGCATGTGTCTATTCGTGCCTCTCCCCGTCGAATCTCATGGGCAGGGTTTTTGCATGGGCTCATGCGGATAGGCGAAGCGTGAAGAAATTGTAGTTTCCGATGGCCTCGCGTCGGGTGGCTCTACCTCTCCACCTGCACGACCCACCGCTCAACTCATCCGCAACACCTGTATTGTGTCGGCAGCGCCGGCGGACGCGAGCTCGTTCGCAGAGCCGACGGGCCGCGGCGGGCGCTGGGCGCAGCTGAGCGGGCGGGAAAACAGGGAGCGGCCGCGAGGGCAGGGGGCGACGGAGGAGGCCGAAGAGAATCAACGGGTGACGGGCGTGCGCAGGTTGCCTCCGGCACCAGCCACAGAACAACCACAGAACAGCCACGAGACAACTACCAGGACGACCACCGGGACAAGCGCGGGAGCCCCCTGCGCTGGCACGGCAATGATCTGCTTCGCCCTCGCGCAGCCTCGCGACAAAACCACCAGATTCCGTTTCACTTCGGTTTCCCCCTCCAACTACCGATCGTCCGCACGGCGTTCGCACTTGCGCCCACACGCGCGCCGACATTATGCCCCACAGCTTCATGTCCTGAGGCAGGCCTCTTTACGCACACACGCACGCGTATGTGCATACATCTAAATATATACATAAATACACACATGCATACATACGTACATACATACATACATACATACATACATACATACAGACAGACAGACAGACAGACAGACAGACAGACATAACCCCGTGCCGATGATAATAAATGACCCCCCCCTTAACACGCTAGAGTTGATTATCCACGGCCAAGAAAAAGTTTGGTCAGGGGCGCGGGGCGCGGAGGCCGACCTTTTTTAACACTGTGAAAAGTTCACCATCGAGGTTCACGTCCTTCTTATGTTGAGATAGCAGCATCAAGCGAAGCGAAGACGTTTTCGAGTATCGTAGGTTTGGAATTTTGGATTTCTCCTCCTCCTCCTCCTCCTCTCCTCCTCCTCCTCCTCCTCCTCCTCTCTCGCTTGTCGTGTATCTCTCTCTCTCTCTCTATCTCTCTATATGTCTATCTCTCTCTCTCTTTGTTTCTGTCTCTCTCTCTCTCTGTCTTTCTCCTTCCTCCCCTGGCCCCCTGAACTGTTGTTTTATCGCTGTGGTTTACTATCCACGGAAACCGAGGCACATGAGCTACTCGACACGAGCAGATGAAAGTCTTAATTTCCATTGTTTGTTTACACATTAAATTAAATAGGTTTGGAACTTTGGTTTTTCTCCTCCTCCTCCCCCTCCACCTCCTCCTCCTCCTCCTCCTCCTCCTCCTCCTCCTCCTCTCTCTCTCTCTCTCTCTCTCTCTCCTTCTGTCTGTCTATATGTCTCTACTTCTCTCTCTCTCTCTCTCTCTCTCTCTCTGTCAGACTATATGTATATTTCTGTCTCTGTCTCTATCTGTCTTCCTCCTTCTCCCCCTGACACCCTGAACTGTTTTATCGCTGTGGTTTACTATCCACGAAAACCGAGGCGCGTGAGCTATCCTACACGAGCAGGTGAAAATCTTAATTTCCACTGTTTGTTTACACATTTGATTTAATAGGTCTGGAACTTTGGCTTTTCTCCTCCTCCTCCTCCTCCTCCTCCTCCTCCTCCTCCTCCTCCTCCTCCTCCTCCTCCTCCTCCTCCTCAGTTTGTCTATATTTCTCTACTTCTCTCTCTCTCTAACTATCTGTATAGTTCTGTCTCTGTCTCTCTCTCTCTGTCTTCCTCCTTCTCCCCCTGGCACCCTGAACTGTTTTTTTTTATCGCTGTGGTTTACTATCCACGGAAACCGAGGACCATGAGCTATTCTACACGAGCAAGGACGTCTCAAGGGAAACAAAATGTGTTTGAGGATCTCTTAAAAACGAGGACGTCTCAAGCGAACCGAACAATTACTTGAAGATGTCTCAAACGAAACGAGCGATTAGTGTATAATGTCTCAAGCGAAACGAACAGTAACAATCTCCGTAGCCATTTGGTGGCTCATCATTTCGAGCTCTCCAAGATAGTTAGTTGCTCCAAGCCGACAATGGAGCAGCGCGTCGTGCTCGAGAAGTCTCCTCGGCTTTCGGTCCTCTTAACATCATCTCTTTCTCCTCCCACATGCTGGCCTCCAGTAGGCAACATGTATAATCCCCCCGCGACCCCGAACTTTGTTGTCCCTGTGGGATTATTCTCCGGGACACAGGGTTACATACATACATACATGCATGCATGCATACATACAAACATACATACATACATACACACAGACATACATGCATATGTGTATATATGTGTATGCACATGCGCGTGTGTGTATATATGTATACACGTGTGTATATATATCTATATATATATATATAGATATGAAAGAGAGAGAGAGAGAGACAAAAAACACAAAAAAAACGTGATCCACCGCCGCTTCACTGTGGAAGATTCCCCCCGCTCTTCCTCCAGAACCTGGGGTGCCCCCCCCCCTGCTGGCCCCCCCCCTTCCCCCCGCACCCCCCCCCCCCCCCACCCCCCCCCTAAACCCCCCCCTCCCCCCCCTCCGAAACCCTGGGGGGGGTCACTACCGGTCGACCCCCTCCCCCTCTCCAAAAAACCCAGGGGGGGGGTCACTACCGTTCGAACCCCTCCGCCCCCCTCCTCCAGAAAACTGGAAGGGGTCACTAACCTGTTCGAACCCCTCCCCCCCCTCAAAAACCAGTGGAGGGTCACTACCGGTTCGAACCCCTCCCCCCCACCCCCCCTCCAAAAACCGAGGGGGGTCACTACCGGTTCGAACCCCCCCCCTCCAGAAAACCAGGGGGGGGTCACTACCGGTTCGAAACCTTCCCCCCCCTCCACGCTCACCGCCGACAAACGACTCCCTGGTCCCTACCACCGTCCGCACCACATCCCCTACTGCTGTCCCCAGCACCACTGTCCTCACCACCACTGTCCCCGCTGTTCCCACCACCGTCCCTGCTGTCCCCACCAATGCCCCTACCACTGTCGCACTGTCCCCACTGTCCTGTTCCCACCACGGTCCCACTCTCCCCACTTTCCCCACGGCCCCAACCACCGTCCCACTGGTCCCCACGGTCCCCACTGTCCCACTGTCCCCGCCGCTGCCCCACTGTTCCCACCGTCCCCACTGTCCCCACCACTGTACAGTCCCACTGTCCCCACTGTCCCCACACTGTAATACTGTCCCACCAATGCCCCCACCACCGCCTTCACCACTGTCCCCACCACTGTCCCGCTGTACCCACCAGTGTCCCGCTGTCCCCTCACCACTATCCCCACCACCAGTCCCCACCACTGTCCCACTGCCCCCGCACCACTGTCCCCGACGCCGCCGTTCCTGCCACTGTCCCAGTATCCCTACCATTGTCCAACTGTCCCGAGGAACGGGAATCGTTTGCCGGCGGCGAGGGGGGGGGGGTCGCGCCCCCCTTTTTCATGATGAACTGGGAGAGGGTGTGGGGGGGAGGGGTTCGAACCCGTAGTGACCCTCCCTCCGGTTTTCGAGAGGGGGGACGGGTTGGGAACCCCCAGTGACCCCCCCGGTTTTCCGCCAGCAGCGGTAGAACACGCTCTTTCATCATATATATATATATGTGTATACACACATGTATATATGTATATATATATATACATACAGTGTGCCGGCAACGAGCGACGCAGCCAACGCCAAGAGAGCGTTTCGAGTTACACCCCATGACCCCCAGATCTACTGATCTCCCCCTCCCCGCCTTCCTTTTTTACGCTAGACGAACGTGAGGAACTCGCCGTTCGCAGTCTTGCAGGAACTGAAGGAAACAAGTAAAACCGACTCGGTCCAGCTGGCGGGCACCAAGGAAAATGAGGGAACAAGAGCCCACGAGAAGTAAATAATAGACAGTAGGCGCCCACCAGGTAGAGGACGACACACACCTTAGTGGATAAAGGCCTCCTCCTCCACCCAGTTAGGCGATCCTCAGGAGTAGAGAAACCGTTGGTTAATGGTGTGTGTCGCCTAAGCAAGTAAATTGCGAAACTGAAATATGCAGTTCTAGAAGACTTGTCCCAAGTTTATGGTTGACCCCAAACCTGGCACATTTGTCCCGCAACCCCCCCCGCCACCAAAGTCA